CTCAAAAATGAATAAATGTTAAAAAAATTTTTAAATGTCTTTGCTTTTATCATCTGATTTCTCCCAATTAAATATGCAAAGATTTAAATAAGTCCTAAACATTCTTTTGACATTTTATTTAGGTTGCATTAAACATCAAAAATCCTGGGGAAAATTGTCATTTATTTTGCAATTATACATCTATTCTTTTTGGAATATGTTATGTCTTATCTAGAAACAAGTTCAAGTCTATTTCAGTCAAGTGTTGAAGTTTTCTTTATATAGCCCCTTTTCATTTGTTGTTAAATTTATTCCAGGCATTTATATTTACTGTAAGAGGATATTTTTACTAAAATTATGTCTTTTCTCTTATTGATGTATTAATAGAAAAGTAATTGATTGGTATATATTTATTTATAGCCAATCTCTGTTGAAATCTTTATTTTTCTAAAGTTTTTAAAAATTGTTTTCTAAAACATGATTCTTATGGGTCTCATAACTATGTCATCAAATAATGGTAATTTCATTATGATACCTTGAAATCATATTTTTGTTTCCTTCCTCATTTCATAGGCTATAATAATAACAACGATGTTAAGTTTGGGGTGTAATAGTAGGCATTCTTCGCTGCTTGTTTGAGGTAGTTATTCTATGCCTTGTTAAGCAGGAATCTTTTTGTTCTGATTTTATTAGGCAGGTATGTAGGTAGATAGATTATAATGATTTTCAATTTTGTCAAATGTCTTCTTGGTGTCTTCTAAAGATTGTTTAAAAATTTGATAAAGCCTCATTTGTAAGATAGATTATCCTAGTAACCTTCCTAATACCAAATCAGTGTTATTTTTTTCTGTTTAATAATACTACATTATTCTTTTATTATATCATTAAAATCATTTTGCTGATATTTCAAGGAGAAAAACACTCAAATTTATGGCTGTTTCTCATATTTTAGTATCATCTTTATTTAGCTCTTTCTCTGTACTAGGAAAGTTACTGCCGCTTGAGAAAATTTGATAATTTCTCTTTTCCCATGAAATTTTCAAAGTTATTGATATTTCAATTTTATTCCTGTAGAATATTACATACTACTTTTTACTCCCTATGAATAATTTATTTCCAGTTTTTAACTATCTGTATTTTTTTTTTTTGCTTTGTTGAGGTATAGTTGACCACAAAGTTGTACTATATATTTGAGGTGTACAAATGGATGTTTTGGTACACTGTGAAATGATCACAATAAAGCTATAATATAGCCATCACCTCAAATCATTGCCTTTATTTTTTCTGGTCATAAGAATAGTTAAGATTTATCCTTTCAGCAAATTTCAAGTACACAGTAAACTATACTCAACATGCACCCACCCATCAGTTTCTGTACTATAGTCACCATGTTGTACGTTAAACCTCCAGAACTTACTAATCTTGCATTGCTGGAACTTGTGTCCTTTTGCCAACATCTCTTCATTTCCTCCACCCCCCACCCCCCACCCTCTGGCAATCACCATTCTACTCTGTGCTTCTGTAAGTTCAACCATTTTAGATTCTACACAAATATGAGTTCATGCAGTATTTGTCTTTCTGTGTCTGACTTATTTCACATGGCATAATGTCCTCTGGGTCCATCCATGTTGTTGCATATGTCAGAGTATTCTTCTTTTGTGAGGATGAATAATATTTCATTGTATATTTCTTTATCCATTCCTCTGTTCACATTTATGTTCTTGTTCTATCTTGGCTATTGTGCATAATATTGCAATGAATATAAGAGTATAGATATCTCTTTGAGATACTGGTTTCATTTCCTTTGGATATATACCCAGAATTGAGATTGTTGGATCATATTATAGTTCTACTTTTAATTTGGGGGAGGGAACCTCCATAATAGTTGTACCAATTCACACTCCCACCAACAGTATACAAGAATTCTCTTTTGTCCACATCCTCACCAACACTTGTTATGTCTTTTTCATAATAGACATTCTTTTTTTAAAATAGTTTATTGTCAAGTTGGTTTCCATATAACACCCAGTGCTCATCCCCACAAGTGCCCTCCCCCATGCCCATCACCTCCCTCCCCCCACACCCATCAGTCCTCTGTTTATTCTCAGCATTCAAGAGTCTCTCATGGTTTGCCTCTCTCCTTTTCCCCCACCATTACCCCCCTTCTTCTCCCCCTTGTCCTCAGTTAAGTTCCTCCTAATCCTCCTATACGTGCAAACATATGGTAGCTGTCCTTCTCTGCCTGACTTATTTTGCTTAGCATAACACCTTCATGGTCCATCCATGTTGCTACACATGGCCAGATTTCATTCTTTCTCATTGCCATGTAGTATTCCATTGTATAGATAAACCACATCTTCTTGATCCATTCATCCGTTGATGGACACTTAGGCTCTTTCCATGTTTTGGCTCATAATAGACATTCTAAAAGGTTTGAGATGATATCTCTCACTGTGGTTTTTATTTGCATTTCCCTGATGACCTGATGACCAATAATGTTGAGCACTTTTTCGTATATCTTTTGGTCCTTCATATGTCTTCTTCTGAGAAATGTCATTTTTCCATCTTTTAATCGGGTTACCTTTTTGCCATTGAGTTTTAAGAGTTTCTTATATATTTTGGATATGAATCCCTTATCAGATATCTGGTTTGCATACATTTTGTTCCATTATATAGCTTGCTTTTGTCACTCAGTTGATTATTTCATTTTCTATGCAGAAGCTTTCTAATTTGATGAAATCTCATTTATCTAATTTTGCATTTGTTGTCTGACTTTTGGTTGTCTCATATCCAAAAATTATTTCCCAAGTTACTGTTAAGACACTTTCTTCCTATGTTTCCTTCTAAGAGTTTTAAGTTTTAGGTCTTACATTTAAAGTTTTAATCCATTTTGAGTTGATTTTTTGTGTATGGTGTGAGATAGAAGTCTAATTTCACTCTTCTACATGCAAGCATCCAATTTTCCTATCACTTATTATTGAACAGACTATCCTTTCCTCACTGGATGTTCTTGGAACTCTTATAGACCATCAATTGACTGTAAATACATAGACTTATTTCTGATATTTCTGTTCTGTTCCATTGATTTAATTGTCTGTTTTCATTCCAGTACCATATTGTTTTGATTACTGTAGCTTTTTGTATCATATTTTGAAATCAGAAAGCATGATGCCTCCAACTTTGTTCTTCTTGCTCAAGATTGCTTTAACTATCTGGGGTCTTTGCGCTACATGTAAGTTTTAGGATTGTTTTTTCTATTTCTGTAAAGAATGCCATTGGAATTTTCATAGGGATTGCATTAAATCTGTAGATCACTATGGGTAGTATGGGCATTTTAACAATATTAATTCTTCTAATGTATGAACATAAATAAGATTTCTTCCCATTTATTTATGCCTTCTCTATTTCCTTCCTCACTGTTCTGTAATTTTCAGTATATAAATCTTTCACCTCTTTGGTTACATTTCTTCCTAAGTTTTTTTTTCTTCTCATTGCTATTATAAATGTCATTTTTTTCTTAATTTCCTTTTCAGAGAGTTCATTGTTTGTGTATAGAAATGCCACTGAGTTTTGTGTGCTGATTTTATATTCTACAACTTTACTGTTTTGCTATATTAGTTCTAACCGCTTTTTTGTTGTTGTTTAGTCTTTAAGAATTTCTACATATATGATCTCATCATCTGTAAGCAGAGATAATTTGACTTCTTCCTTTCTGATTTGGATATTTTTATTTCTTTTTCCTGTATAATTGCTTTGGCTAGGACTTCAAAGTACCTTGTTGAATACAAGTGGTGAGAATGGGCATCTTTATCTTCTACTTTGTAGTACTGGAGTCAAGTCCTCAGGGAGACAGGCTGCTTTTACGAATGCAGCCAATCACTGAGAGCAACCTGTCTCCTGGAAGCCACAGTTTAGATTCTGCCACAGTTACACAACCAGGATCCCAAACCTCCCACGAAGGTACTTTGTTCATGGATGGCTGCCAAACTGTGGTTTCTATGAGAAGACCTCCTATTCCTTCATGTTGCTGATACCATTTCCTCTATCTGTATTTATATGTAAAAGTCTTCTTTTTCCCTAATCAGATTTACCAAGAAATTACTTTCTAGACAAATAAACAAATAGTCTAGCTAAATATTTGATTCAATTGTTAGTTCTGCTTACTTTGAGATTTAATTAAATTCTATATTTATACATAATTTTTAATTAATTTTATTAAGATTCCTTTTTATTTTTGATAAATTTGTAATTTAGGGGAAATGTCACACTTGTAAATAAAAGATAATCACTAAACAGTATTGTAAACAACCCAGGATAAAGTTTGTTCCTTACATGATGATAGAGAAGATTGTATAATTATTTCTTCCTCAACAAAAGGTTTTCATCTAACTCCAGCTACAAAATTTCCATAGACCACACTTGGCAACAGATTAACTTAGAATAACATAAGATAGGAAATATGTCTTGCTATCAGAGTAGTGTTAATTATTTTCCTTTAGTGAGAGTTGGACTTGCTGCATTCATTTAGAATATCAGTAACATGCAAGGAGACGATACCTATATTAAGTGAATACAAACGCTTACCTGGCTTAGAAGCCAAATAACTTAAAGGAGCCAATGTCTCTTGTAACAACTTCAAAAATGTAACTTCCAGGTCCCCAAAGAGACAGGTCCAATTACAAGAATTATGACACTCAGAGAAGCTCGAAGCCATGGCTCGTTTTCAGATCGTTATTGTTTTCCCAGTCAAGGTGGCATTTGCTACTCAAGGATCACTTTACTATAAGCTATGTTGCCTGAAACATAGTTAACATTCTAACTTTATCATATTTCTAAGAGAACGGAGCTTTAAATTAACCAAAAGCCAAATTCTCATTCAGAATACGTGTTTAGAAATGTAGGTCCTATCATGTCTTACACAATTAAATATGCACAAATGTAATATTTTTTACCCTATCTGTATACCTTAGAATTCCAAACTTAAATCCCATTTTCTTCTTTTGTTCTCCATATTTTCACAGGTTAAATATGGAAATTATGCTTTTGTGTGGGATGCAGCTGTATTGGAATATGTGGCTATCAATGACCCAGATTGTTCATTTTACACAATCGGAAACACTGTTGCTGATCGCGGATATGGAATTGCATTGCAACATGGCAGTCCTTACAGGGATGTCTTTTCACAAAGGTAAGATTTGAGTGTGGTCCAAATAAGGAGAGACAAAAAAAAAAAAAAAAAGAAAAAGAAAGTCTACTTGGTTACCCATTTAGTTTTCTTACATTTTGTTTTCTTTGTTTGGAAAAACATAATAAACAACAATAATAAAAGGTGATTATGAATGTTATTAAATCAGACATTCATTTCCTAAAGCATCTACTGTTATATTATTTATCTCACAAAAGGGGAGAAATATTGCTGCATATGACTGATTTTACTCCTTAAAATTGATATACAAAAGAAAGTAGTATGTTAATAATTTCTTTAGAACTTAATTAGCTGTTTAGTCTCTGAATTTTTAAGCACTAAGTTTCATAGCAAAATGAATTTATTCCAAAAAATACTAAAGCATAAAACAAACTACGGGACCAAGTTAAAGTTCTGATGTACTGAAACATAATGATAGGATGTTTCCATCTGAATTTCACAAAGGAAAAGGAAAAGAATTTTAGAGTCCTTTTCTTGGCATCAAAATATGAGACTTTGTCATGGAATTAAGGAGATGGTTTATTATATTCATTCTCAAATTAGAGTTTTCTTTTATAAGTTTTTTTAAGAAAAAAAGATTTCGAAATATATATTTTAGATTAACAATATATATGAAAGACCTGGGCCTGAAAGGATATATTAACAATATGTATGAAAGACCTGGGCCCATTCCCAAAGATCACTGCATTTCATTCTATCTACTACCAAACAAGTGTGGGCCTAAGAGATTGCATTAGCTTTCGGGTAGAAGTATATTTCATTTGACACTGATACTGCATTTTGTGTATTTTCTAGATATTTTGCTACCTATTTTCTAAAACCTAATGCCAGACCGGGGCCGTACCAGGTAGTAGTAAGGCCCCAAATTTCAAACTATTTGAGTTACATTCCTCCAAATTTTAGGATAACAAAAAGACTTTTTGTTAAACACTGAAACCAAAACCAAAATTAAGTTAGTAGTCCAGAATTGATGTTCAAACTCTGCCATTAGCTAACAAAAAAATTCTAGGTCGCTCTCCTTACCTACAAAAGAGAAAGTTTGACAAATTCCAAAGTCTTGTGTGAGTCAGCTTTTCTGTGTAAGAAACAAGCCCCAGAGTACCATGACTTTTTTGCATTCATAAAACACAGGGCTGTGAGTGGGCAAAGGTCTACAGCGGGTTGCAGGTTGGCTTCTCATTCCAGGGCCAGGCTGGAGAAGTGGCCCTGTCGGGGACAAGCTGTTTTCATGGCAATGAGAACTTACAGAAGGGGCTGCCAGAAACCTGCAGTGCTGCTTGTGCTTTTTGCATGGAAGGGGCATATGTCACATCTGCCCCAAACGACTCACGAAAGAGAGTCTTATGGCCAAGCCCAGAATCAATGAGGTAGGGAACTGTACTTCACATAAAGGGAAGAAGGGAGTAAATAATTATGACCAGTAATACAATCTACCAGTGGCGCATTATGGCTCTGAAAATGTTAAGAATGAAATAAGCATATATTAGGAAGTAAAGTACTAAGGTGTAAATAATGATTATTCAATCAAAACACATTTATTGATAAGTAGATTCTAAGCAGAACAAACTGGAAAATCAGCTATGCCATAGTGAACTTACCTGGAAGACACTTATAGTCTAGTTGGAGATTCATGGCCCATGCACTGGAAACAATGAACAATAGAGACATTTCTAGAACTGTGTGCTGACATTTATATACATACAGTATCAGTATTGCATATTTATATTGTATTAAATTTTGTAATTGAGATATTGAAAGAATTGAATACTATACAGAATAAAGAGTTAATCAAAGGAAATAAGAATGGAAGCTCTCCAAAAAAGGTGAGCTCTGAACTTGACCTTGAAGGATTAATAGGGATAGTTAGGCTCAAAGGAAAACAGATAATTCTTGGAGAAATGATGAAGACAACAGGATAGAAGTAGGAGAGAGCACAATATGTTGAGAAGCAACAAGGGCAGCAAGTTAATTTGAAAGGAAATTCAAAGTTTAGAAGTCATATTATAGATCACAAGCAGCTATGAGAACCTATCACCTGTTCTGGGCCCCAGGGGTAAAATGAAGGAGGAATATTTAAGGCAGGGTTAATCTAGTTTTGATATGAAGGATGGATTAGGATTGACAAAAACTAGAGAAAACCTGGAAGCATGAGACAAAAAAAAAGCATATCCAGAACCGGGCAATGGAGAATGAGGAGGAAGAAACAAATAGAAGAGATACTTCTAAGCAGAGAGGCACAGTGTCATTTTTAAAACTTAGTGAGGATGGAAAGCGTACTAGAATGAAGGGGATGCTGGGGTTTATGAAGACGAGCAGAAAAGTCTTATGGATACTTACCATAAACCATGCAGTTGAGAAAAGGATTCTTTATCCCAAAGTTGTAGTTAATTGGGCTTTTCTTTTTGTTTCCCGACCTGATTTCTGGGTCTTTTATGCAAAAGAAGAAGCCAATAAAATCAATACACGAACATAATGGTCATTAAAGAAACATTTAATAAATCACATTAAGTGTTCCATTTCTTATTATCCCTATGGTGCTTTACCTAAGAGAGATTTTTAATTCTGAGAAAATATAATCCAGTGAATTGCAGAAAAACAATACTAAGCACTGAGCATTATTTTTCCTTTGATTTGCATTATGGATGTTGGCAGTTTAAATTGTGCCTTTCTGTGGAGTTCCTTAAAAATGACCTCTGTATCCTGGTTCCCTGGACATCTGGAAGAAGAGAAATCCAGGAAAGAAACATGATCTGGTGATTGTTGATGTGCCAATTCATCCTTTTATACATATGTGTCACATTAATCTATTACTCTAATTCCCTCCCTGAATTCAGAAAATACCTGCATTCATTCTCTTATGCTGTGGCCATTAAGGAAAAGATATCTCTTTTTTATTAACTGATTTAAAAAATTATAGACCATAAAATTTAATCGTTGCAATATACCTTAGAAATTATTATAAACAACTTTAATACATCAACTTATCCTGGGCCCTTGATTACACTAGATCACTGATTGCTACTGTAATTATTTTCAATGAAAATGATAGCATTCAGGGTGATTTTTATATGAAGTAAATGCTAATTACTTCTCAGGTGACTATCTACCTATACCATAACTTATAAGATATCAAAGTACTCAAATATGTAATAACTACTGATAGCTAAAATAAATATTATATACTGATATAGTAACTACGTGTATTATGCAGTGTCTGCTAAGTATCTTATATGCTTATATATTTTAATGGCACTTCAAAACAATCACATGAAATGCACATTTGCTTATTAGACATTGCATATTAGTGCACAACTTTTATACTACAAGGGCATATGCAGAATGGATGGCCTGAGCTTTGGCAAGCATTAGGTTAAGCATCAGAAACACAGGCTGTAGAGATATTTTCACATTACAATTGTATGTTTATGGACACACATAGAAATGACTCTTAAAGGGGCGCCTGGGTGGCTTAGTCGGTTAAGCATCCGACTTTCGCTTAGGTCATGATCTCGCAGTTCGTGGGTTCGAGCCCCGCGTCGGGCTCTGTGCTGACTGCCAGCTCAGAGCCTGGAGCCTGTTTCGGTCTGTGACTCCCTCTCTCTCTGACCCTGCCCTGCTCACGCTTTCTCTCTCTCTCTCTCTCCTAGAAATAAATAAAAATATTAAAAAAAAAAAAAAAGACTCTTAAGGACCAGTAAGTATTCAATATATGTAATCATAGATTAGGACTGAGGAGTTTTGTTTCCTTGGTCTGCACAGATAGTAGATAACTTGGCAGCAAAGGCTAAAGTATTTATAAAATCTCATCAGATAGGCCAGAGTTCTAGTGTGTGAGTGATGTTTGCAGTGAATTCTCTGACACTGTTTTACAAATGCCTATGTGGCCCTTGTCTTTTAATAGGTCTTCGTATACAAAAATTATTGAGACATTAAAAACATTGAAAACATTTAAAAAAAGAAGAGAGCTGAATTTTTCAATAATATCATTATTCTTGTAATAAAATAAACTCGTGTTGATTTTAGAATGTTAACTATTCATAAGACTAAAAAATGATTAAAAACAGTCTATTGAGCATTTAGTGTGAATTCATCTCTGTTCTCAAATCTTAGCGGATATCAAGGAATAATTAATTCATAAGTTTAATGTTATACTTCATCAGTAAAAAAAAAGTCCCTTTTTTGCCACTTGGCTTCTGTCTCTAAATGTTAGGAATGAACCACCTAGTCACCCAAAAACAGGGACATGTTTCAAACTACATGGAGAATGATTTTGTTGGATTCATGATATTGGTACAGATGCATAAATAATATTTTAGTCTAGTCACAGCATTTCAGAATGTTTACAGATGGAATAATCAGTACTTCCCTTTTTATCAAGGATGGAACTAGTTCAAAGAGTAAATTACTTTATTAAAATCACAGAAAGCAATAAAACTGGAAAATTTTCAAGCATCCTAATTCCACATCCAGTTTTCTTCATCATGCACCCATGTTCCCTCAACTTTCTTCTAAAAGCATGTAAGAATAATACTATATTATGTTAACATGTGCCAAATTTTGAATTCTTACATGTAGCAATCTATGAAGTAAGTACTAGTGTTAGCCTCATTTTATAGATACAAAGCTGAGACGTAATGAGGTAATACCTTCAAAAAGCAATTGAGTATTAAAGCTGAGATTCAAATCTAGACAGTATGGCTCCAAAACTTGTCATACACTTTTAACAATCTGTATTTCAAATAAATACTTAAGGATTGCCTTTCTGTTTCCCTCTTCTTCTCCTTCTTTGGGGCACAGAATAGCATTAATCATAATCCTTGGTACATGACATACTTTCATTTTTGGTCCATAAATGACTGGCTTTATTTGTTTAATTACTTTTAATTTTGTTGAATATAGTCTCTTTTTTGCTGTTTTTTCTTCTCTTTGCATTGTTAACTGTTAGAATATCTACTCTTTACTTTGTTTTTGTTCTTTGCTTT